CATTTGTTCTCCCAGGCTGACCAGAGGTAAAATATATAGTTTGGTCAGCTGACTAACTCAGAGTCTTACTGAAGATGAAAAAGAAGTAGCAAACCCAAACAACAATTATGTGCTTCTTGTTTTGCCTCATCTATGGTTGGAAGCGAAAGGAGTATTGAGATGAGAAGATGTTTATTTAATTATTTATTTAAAAGCTTAAGGACTTTGTCACCAGATGCTCTGTGCTGCCTTTGAGCTGACCTTTGTGTTCCCTGGCTTGGAATTGCTTAGCCTCATGTGGGGGAAGTCAGTTCGCATGTTTTCTGATTGTAATATATAATCTGTGTGGATCTTTCCCACAGTAATACAGGAGTCAGAAGTATTAAGAAACCATTCAAACAGGAAAACTTGCTTAGAAAAGCATAGTATTTGCATAATCATAAAGTAATCAAGTTCACATCCATTAAATAAAAAGTTCTGTTTCTTATTAATGTGACCAATTTGAAACCAATAGCAGCTCTTTGATGGCTTCAATGAGGTATTGCTGTTTTCCAGGGTGTACAAGTCATTATCTGATCACATGTGGAAACATGGCTGCATTCGCCGTCCCATGCCAATTGTAAAGCCTGTCATTAAAAGCATCAGCGTGTAGCTGGGGTTTCCACTAGACCCATATGAAAGGGCAGAAAGCAGCAAGCTCCTGGGAAAAACAAAAAACTTGGCAGGCTTGCCTGAGATAATTGTTGTTTTTATGGTTTTCCTGGTCTAGCCTGAAGCAGGAAGAAACAGAAACATGAAAAAGTGCGTATCTACTCTATTTCCAACCTAGTTTCATAATCTCAAGAAGTTTGGATAAGTTTCAAAGAATCAAGAGAAAGTTCATATGCTTATCTCAACAGCACCTCAGACGCTTTTAAGGATGACCCAGCAGAATGACTCCTGTTGAATTCAGGCTAGCTTTTGAAAGATGAGTGCTGGAGAGATTTTGGAGCTCAAGGAAAACACCATTCAGGAGCATTGTGTAGAGCTGTTACTCCTTACCTGAAAAAGGAGTTTGAGTACTATAACATACCTTCTATTTGCGTTCCACATAAATATTAGTTAGAATTTATATACTAATATCTTCAAAGCACTTTTTAAGCATTAGCTGTTTTTTCCTTTTAATGCATATCATTAAAAAAATAATAAAAATCTGGCACATTATCCAGCCTGCCTGTTACCTGTGAGAATTAGGCTGTATATGGACAGGCTGAAAAAAAAACCCAAAGAAGTAGGGTTTGTCCTTGTAATAGAGTGTACACCTGGCATGCACAGACAATCCACGTGTGATGTGCCAGTGAGAAATCCTCAGCAAAAATGAGTCTCTTAACTGATGCTGTTGACTTACAAAATAGGGCTGCAGTCCAGCAAGCAGTGGGACTCATGATTGTACTGCATAAGATGGAGCTCCTTGTTTGCATAGTATTACAGTTGGAGTCATGTATTTGCAGGATTAGCAGCCAAATACCATTGTTGCAGAGTGAGAAATTAGCATAAACGGGAAACCAGTAGCTGTTAAAATAGTCTTGAAATAAAGCCTCATGGTCTCACTCAGTTTTCCAGGCTTGACATTTATTAAAGCACAGTAAACATTTGCAGGGATAAAGGAGAGAGTGAGCAATTTGACTTTCCCGCTTTTATGACAGAAATGATCGGATGAAAATTCTGCCTCATTCACAAAAATAAAAATAAAAAATTCAGAGTTGACTTGTTTTTGTTTTTGTTTTATAATTAGTGCAAGTAGCCAACCCCCATAAACACTATGAAGGGCAAATATATTGTTCTTAAAGAATACCCAAGCATTTTGAAAAAAAACTAATTTCTTAAAAACAGCCTCCTGCTTGTCTTAGGAAGTGCTATTGCCCATGCCCATTGTACAGAACAAAGGTGTGGCTGCAGCAAGGACAGACTGGGGTGTGGTATCTGGAGACCAAGCTGGGCAGCTGTGATGGTCAGTGGGGTGCTGATACACAGATCCAGCATCAGGAGCTGGAGGCCCGTTAGTCCGAGAAGCTTTCTCAATAGGCACAAGGTTAGGGACTCTATCAGGGGATACCTTTGCACAATATCGAAGTCCAAGCATTCAGGTCATGTGTAACTTGGATTTGGCACCTTGTAAGAGTGTCAGGTGTCTGAGGAAGAAATCTCACCAAAGGATAGCTCCCCACTTCTTTCTTCATCCATCAGGGATGCCAAGACTCACCAACTTGGTTTTAATAAGTAAAAATGTTCAGTTATTGACTGAAGTTTCCTGTACTACTGGTGTAAGTTCGTAGGTCCTCCCTGTGACACTGTTTTCATGGATGTCACCTAGCTGTAGATGCCTTTGTTCAAGCTGTATGGGAACTGGGCATCTGATATTTTAAGCCAGCAAACAAACACTGTGCTTCTTGCCTTCCTCAGATACCTAATCCACTGCTCTTAACTTTCCTGACAGTGAAGGCATACAGCTAGTGAAATTAGCCATAGAATCTCGTTTTGTCCTGCAAATGAACAAAAAGCCCACGAAACACTTATTGAAAACAAAGAGGAAGGCAAAGCTATTTGGCATCAAACCACAGCAAGGACCATGTTCGACTGCCTGAGTTCACAGCATGGAGCTGGAGCTGTAGAGCTTGAATGGCAGAAATATTAAACTGCTGGCCCCATCTGTAGCTGCCATTGGAACAGAATAGCCAGTTCATGACAAGGAAGGGCTGAAGTTTTTCCCTTAGTTCTGAAGAAAGACCACAGGCTGAATGCCTTGAGTAAAGGCTTTTTGAAAGTCCAGATTGGCAAAATTTCATCTTCTGTGAGAAATCAGTGGGATTTGCTGTGCAGTGTTGCTGCATGAGTTTTTCTAGGAAAGTTAAAAGAAATGAGCTCAAAGGAAAAGAGCTACAGATAAAAGAGACACTTTACTTCTAACATCAAGCCATTTTCCTGTGGAATGTTGCGCAGAATTTCCACTTTTAGGCTATTTATTATGAAACGTGTCCCCTTTATATTTTGTTTTTTTTTCAGTTTTAGCTGAGAAGGTGTCGACTGTGATTAAGATTTGCTCTTTGGAGTTTATTTTTTAACTTTCAGTTCAGTAAATTGCAGCTTGCTGATTTTCAGGTTTGCTTTTGAAGTCTATTCTAGATTGTGTAAGTCCTGATAGCAGAAATGGCTTCAGCTCTGATCCATGTACATCACTAGATACTGTGGCTTTCCCCGTAGTCACCATCACTTGGTGACTATTTCATGCTCATATTTCCGTTGATTGTCCCCTCATGTGTATCAGTCAAAAAATTACTGAATTGAATTTATATTGGAAAAATCATGTCTCCTGACTGCATGCACAACTTTTAACATGCTGGCACCCTGAATCAAGGGGCCCACATTGTGCTTCAGTGTTATATGTGTGAAATAATGGGTATATGGGATATACCATGTGTATTTACTCTTTAAATGCTGTTTGTGAGGAATTAGGAGATGTAAGATTACATCTTCTGAATCAGTCTGTGCTACTTGATTGATCTTCAAATGTATGGGGAAAATCAGCTTAATAAAGAACCTGCCGAATAAGAATGGGTTTTGGTTTTTTTTTTTTGTTCACTTACTTTGATCTCACTGCCCTATAGAGCAGGGGAAGTAAGACCTGTCTGATAAATCCAGTTCCCAACAGCTTTCTTGAATCTTCTGAAGTTGTTAGCTTAAAGCAAGGCTTCTTGCAGTGTTTCATGCAACTTAGATGTTTTACAGATTATGAATAAATTTGCTGGTTTAAAAACTTTCCAAACGCTTGTGTAGAGTCAGACATATTCTCTTAATTTGAGCTGTGATAAAAAATGTCTATTATGCTATTAGAAAAACACAACTTGTTCTAAAAATAGTCTCAATTTTTAGAAAGGTGTTTTGGCAACTTGCAAGCTAATAATTCATGATTCAGAGGAAGCAGAGAGTAAAAGAGACAAAAACAAGGAAAGCGTGTGTATCTTCAGCTCTCACAAAAGTAAGGTCTCATAATGATGCAATTTTTATAATGATACAGCTATTTGCCATAGGTAGTATGAGCATTTATGCGGCCTTTGCTTGCTTTTTTTTCAATATTACCAACTTTTTGAGTCAATTGCACAGAAATCTGGTCCTGAGTGAGTTTTGAACTCTTTTAATGAGTCTGTGAGGTTCCCATTACTCAAATGAAGTAGTATAACTCCAGTGTGCATCTAGAGATGCAGGTGAAAACTGAAGGTTCTAAACACCTCACTGTACTGCACTCTTATTACCGCCACATCTTCCTCCCCAGTCTGGCCAGTTTTAAAACCATGTTTTCCTTTTTTGCATATAAACTTTAGGTATGGATATTTAAATAGAGCCGCTGCTGTCTGGTGGGATTAACTTTCTCTGTGACTTTTGATGGAGCATTATGGATATTGGAAAGCAGAAAATACTGTGGAGCAGATCATAATTTTCTGTGTGAGACTCAGCCCTTTATAACAGTTCAGCTTTAGCCTTTAACAGCCATAAGACAAAGCCGCTTCCCTGAGAGACCGTGCAGTTTGTTGCCTGCTTCCCTGTAGGTGGACCCTCATGGAGAGGCAGCAGCATTCTTAGAAAGAGCCATAGACTGGTAATGGCTTCTCCTCTGCTCTCCCTTAGCCCCTACACAACTTTGATGAATTGTAGGGTATTTTCTAAACCGTGCAGTAACTTCAACAGAACTAGTTACAGCTAGCTAGTTCTTTTGGGTTCTGTAATTTTTCTCTTAAAAAGTCATTTAGTTCTCAACAAACTGAGTTCTTCTGAAAACACTGAACTGTGCTTCTGGTACATTGAGGAGTATAGATAATGCCCAGGTGGGCAGCAGGCTTTCTGTTTCTTTTAATACAGGCCTGGTGTTTTGGTCATATAATTGAACCATTAATTAAAATCAATGATAGCCTCCTGCATTCTATTCTGTTAGTTTACTGCAAGCAGGAAGCAGATTCTGACCTGAAATTCTCTTATTTGTGTTTCAGTTTGCCACTGCTCTCTCAGCGATGTACTGATGAGTCACGATGACTTACACTGAGCCTCTGTAAGTGCTTTCATTCTCTTATTTCTCCTCCTTAACTCTTCTTGCCTTAAAATCCTCAGCAAATGTCATTAGTGCAGTATTCTGTCTTCTTAGCTAATTAGGTAGTGCTGATCCTCTGGGAAGAGAGAAGGCTGGAACAGCCGACTAATTACCCTGAAAGTACATGGAGGGGAGAGCTGGGAACACCCAGATTGCTCACAAAATTACAGGGTACAAGTCACCAGGTGGAAAAGGATGAAGACAACAGGAACAAGCCAGAAGTGAAGTCAGCAGCATCACTTTGCTGCTCTCCCCCATAGCCCCTTAGTCATGCTGCTGAGTGGTGAGAGCAGCGGTGAGAGAGACACATGTGGGAGCATCCCTTGTTTTTAATCAATGGAACAGGGCAAAGATATAATGAGAAGGAATGTCTGGTCTGAATGTAGCTACTGTAATCTGTGAAAGAAGCAGAAAAACAGGGAGAAGAGTCTCTTCAGTTTTGCTCAAAATGACATTTGTGTTGCAATTCTTTCTGGAGCTGTAACAAGTTGATAGCACTGAGCAATTAAGAGACCTTGCTGTGAGAAAAACACAGTTGACATTCAGCCTGAATGGTTAGGTTACAGACTGGAGATGTGGGAAGTGGGTGCTCTGCCTATTTTCAGAGGTAGAACTGCTCAGCACCAAGCTCTCATAAATTTGAGGCCAGTACTTTGTGCATAATCTCTCTTTCTCCCTGATTTGCTCCATGAGTCTTCACAAGGCAGGGTAGGGGCAACAAATATTTGTGAATTTTTGCTATGAGACATATCGGTTGGCTTAATTGTGGGATGCTTCTGTACACTGTTTCAGCCGTGTTTAAGCAACAAGGTGGCTGCTTGTATACATATAATCAGATAATCATAGAATAGTTGGGGTTGGAAGGGACCTTAAGATCATCTAGTTCATATGTGACTGCAATATATTTGTGTATCAGCAGTGCTTGGGGATTTCAGCAGTACATCCTCCTGTTTATTTAGGCCTCTGTGGAGATGGAATGATAAAGTTGTGTTTTGGTATGTATGCATTTGTTGAGTTCAGCTCAGAGACGAAGCTGTGATGGGAAGCCAGCATTACTATACCGCTGACCCCATGTGCACAACATGACTTCAGGCTCCTAGAATTACCAGGTTACTTTCCAAAGTGGAGTAAGTTTCTGGGGTAGAACTGATATTTTGCCTGTGCTTCAGGGGAAGGAAAAGAGTAACCCTTACGATACAGGGGTACTATTAAAGACGTAAATGCCTTGAGTCCCATTTTGCTTGCATTCTGGTGCTGCGAAATCAATTCTTTGTGCTCCCAAGGTCTTTCCACAAATGCAAGACATTCTTCTTAGAAGTACTGGATTTTCCCTGTGTCACAAGACAGCAGGGTATTTTTACATCTTAAGAGTTTTAGAATAAATCAAAATTCCAGTAAAAATACACATTCAACAGGTTTCAGTAGGTCCTTCACTTAAAATGCACGAGGTCATGGCTTTCCACTCAGTCCAACTCCCCAGTGCTTTCTGCAGTGATTGACTTCTCTGTTTTTAGTATTTACAGTCTATCTGTGGACCCTTTTACTTAACCCAAAAATATGTAGAACCCACTCATATGTCTAGCAGTCCTCTCCACATTTGTAACCCCGGCAGTACAAGGAAAGCTCTTCCTTTCTTTCTTAACTGCATTACCTTGGAACAATTTTAGTGTGTCAGGTCTTCCCTCCCTCTCTCCCTTACTCTCTACCTTCCTCCCTCCCTCCCTTTGTTTTACACAACTCAGCCTGATGTTTTGCACAATGAATAGTTCTGCATTTTATTTTAATGTGAAAGTTTCATGGGTTCAGTACAGCATTTTTTTTTTCTGTTTTGTCTAACTTATAAAATTTCTGATTCTGCATTGTAAATTTGTTACACTGACTTCAAGTTGTATGATCGAGTTCAGCTTCAGTAGAAAAAAACCTTTTTCACTCCTCTCATGAGAAGAGAAACAGGTGAAACTAGTGTAAAAATGAGCTTGCAGGTGGAAAACAGAGCAATTACTCTAACTCATTTTAACTTTAAGAGGAAGTAGAATAATCCTCATAACCCTGATGCTATCAAGTAGCTGTGCAGACAGTACTTTACCCCAAGACAAGTTCACAGGGACAAAAGTTTTCCTTAGCATTCAGAGAATGCTCTTTAATTTGCATTAGTCATAAAAAAAGAGGTACTGGTCCAGCCCAAAGGTCAAGTTAGACAAGCATTAGTCTCTGAGAGCTGTGAAAGGTGCTTGTGTGTGTGCATATGTCTGCATGAGTACATGTAAAATTATGCTGTCTTTATTGCAGCATGAAGTTTCCTTTTTATTTTTGAAGGTTTTTGTTCCCTTTTGTGAAGAGCTAAGACACCATTATTTTTTTAGATCATAATTCATAGAGTGAGCAATGGGAAAAGAGAGAGACAAGGAGGTATGTGCTATTATCAAAAACATCTGTGGACCCAGGCTTTTTTGTGGCACTTTGTTTGTTCCTAGGACCCTGGAAGAAGGAGGAGAGGGATGCTACTTGAAGACAGTGCTGGTGACTGAAGGAGGTGCTCAGGCACCCCTCTTTATGCATGCTAGTACTGAAAAAAAGTGGTATGTGTTTCTCAAGCAATTAGGTGAGCAGTGGCTCTTCTGTTCCCTGAACAAATGGTGAAATGTATTTTGCAAAGATTCTAACTTTTATGTAGTTGGAGATTTAAAAGGATCTCTTCCCTTTTTGAGTATTTATATATGAAAACTCTTGCTAATCTGATTTAAAAAAAAAAAATCTTTTATTTTTTTTTTTTCTTGACTTATTTGGAAAGGCAGTCTCAGAAAATCATTTAACTTCTTAGAAATATTTCTCTGTAATGCCACCTGATTTCTTTGTCAACCTAACTAAACACAATGCAGATTTTTACCACATATATGTTGATATATACAAATATTTTCTGTTACTATATAAAAATTTTAACATGAAACATCTCAATTAATGCAAAACCACTCTATCTGTGCATTGCCAGCCGTGCACTGTGTCCTTAACATCTGCTAGGCTCCATTTAAGTTATTATTGTCCATATGGTATGGCCATGAAAGAATGACAGATCAGTGATGTTACTGCCTGCAATAGCTGCTGATGCTTGCAAACTGTTCACTCAATGAAAGCAAGAGATAAATGATTATTCAGAATCATGCTACTGAGAACAAATCTCTTCACTGAGCACTAAGTTAGTTAATTTTCTGGTGTATTAATTATGAAGCTTTGCCTGTGGTGCTCTGCTGCAAGTCAGTGCAAGCTGTCTTATACAGTAGCAGGCAAGAACTTAGCAAGGAAAGAAGCTAATTATAAATAAGTGTAAAAATCTGGGTTTTGACATGGAGAGATGCCGCAGTTACAAAACTGACGCCAAACTGCTGAATAAAGCTGTGCTAGGACTACAAGTCTTGACAACATGAAAGCAGAGGAGATGTTATGTTAATTTCTGATGTCCTAGAACCTGTGCAAGACAATTCAACAGGGACATTATCTTTCCCCTTAGTTCTTGGTCTTGAAAATACTTACAGGATTTCCTTAGATAATAATTTACTATGTAAGTGAAGTATTTTCCTTTAAGTATATTCCTTTCTAGGTTTATTGATGTATCTTTCTCTCTTTTGTAGTTATTAGATCAGGAATTTTTAGAAGCAAAAGTCACAACTCCTTCTCAGTCTGTCAAAACCCCTTCCTTATTTTACAGAAGGGACGTGGCTTTTTTTAGCAGAACAATTTTCTTAAGTGCAATGAGAAATTTCTGGTCAAAGCCAAAGAGACTGAAAGATCTCCTTTACCATGGCAATGTGGGGCTGTTAGAACAAAGGCCTGAGGTTTTGGCTAGACAGAGTAGCCTTCTGCACATCAGTGTTCTCTGTCCCTGTATCTGCCCATGAGAGGACTGAATATTTTGATCTTGGTTACTTTTGCTTTCCAGAAGGTTTTGTCTCCATCCCAATGAAGAATGAGAACATTAGAAAAAAAGGGGAAAAAAAACCCCAACAGAACAAACCAAAAACCAAAGCCCTAAATACCATTCTTCATTATTTTTTGCAAAACAGGCAGAGAAGGGCCATTTCTACCTGGAAATTGAGAACTACAAAAGTATGTGGAGTACATCCTTGAAGACATTTCTCAACTGTATTGAACAAAACTTTACTTCAGTTGAAATTTTAGTGCACTGGTTAAATATAATGAAACTATAATCCAATTTCTATTTTTTTACCATCTTTTTAACAATCTCTCTGTTGCGTTATCCACAGAAAAAGAAATTTTTTTTTTGCCTGAATCATTACAAATAGCTTAGTAATCTGAGCGAAGCATTTCCTTCAATGTATGTTAATTCACATACACCACTGTTAAATGTCATCTGCCATCATGCTGTCTGTATACCTCACTTCTGAAGTTCTAGCCAATTTTCCATAACTCTGTTTAAAAAAAGCAACTTCTGTATCAGTAAACTCTGACACTTCCTATTGAATGATCCCACAAATGTGAAAAACTTCTTAGTGCTAGCCTGACATGGTTTTACCACCCTGACTGTAGTGCAGGTGTTCCTCTCATGTCTTATCTAAGGGTTATTCTGAAAATGACCTTTCTGACAATCAATCAACTGTGCTAAGGTGGATAATTGCTTAGCAATACATTGACAAAACAATCACTTTGATCAGAGTTATGCTGGTAGATTACACTATGGGTGTTCATGCTACAGTCGTCACTTCTTATGAACAGTATTTTGAATACCTTCTCTAAGGCCATTTACAAACCCATCACAAGGAGCAGAGGCTGCCTACCAGGAAAGTCTCCGTGTGTCCTACCCACAATCTTGGCAGCAGGCTAGAAGGACGTATCCAGCTGCATCTGAGCATGGGGAGTGCCTGGACTTTTAGAGGTCCCCTGGATGCAAGGAGACCTCTGAGCCTTCGGGTCAGGGCTGAGCTTGAAGGTGCAGAGAGGACCCTGCCAGCTGGTGGGAAAAGCAAAGGGACTCTGGAAGGCTGGTAAGCTCCCAGCCTAGCCCCTGTCTGCACTCCATGTCACTATGCCTCAAAGTCCCCATTGCTGCTGCAGAAGAATTTGGCTTTCCAGGGGCTCAGAGACTCTGTGTGTGCAGTGGGAGCACACTGGCACGGTTTTGGCAACCTGGGCAGTCTGATGCAACAACTGATTGTGTTGGTCATACCAAGACACAGCTTACAGCAGGTTTTCAGCATCCTCTGTTTCAACCTATTTATTATCCTTACTGTCATGCAAAAATCCTCCTGCAGCTGCAGAGCATGCATCTGCAAGGAATGAGATGGCTGTCTGGAGATGGGACACCCAGGCTGCCAAAATTGTCTTTGGTCCATGCCACTTTGTCTGGCACTGGCAGCACCATATTTCTTCACCAGAAACAGTCGTTGTCCCCAGCTCCAGTATCACTGCCTGTGTTGTGCTAGGAGCCCAAGGACCTTCTCCCAGGTTCACAGCATCGTGTTGCTCTTGCCTTGGGCAGCATCCCTGATGTTCTTCATTGCTGTAGGCCTGGCAACTTAGCTGTGCCCATCAGAGGAGTTGTGAAAAGTAATCATAAAACTTAGCTTAGGTGTATTGAAGATGAGAATTACAAATTTCAAACTAGCCTCCCGATTTACATGCATCAGCGTATCTTGTTATGTGTCAGCATATGAGAATGGGAAAAAAAAGCTTAAAATCTATGCCCTGAACTCACCAGATTGTACAGGTTTATTCTTCAGGCGATAGACAGTGGCATAGGATGTGCAGGAGGTTGGGACAGAGTAACTCAAAAGGATTGGATAATACAAGATATCATGGTGAAAAGATTTAACAGATCTACAGATCCAAAGCCCAGAAGCAATTCCAAACCTGATGCTAGAAGCTGGCTTTCCACTACAGAAAATAAAAAATTGATCTGACTTACATATAACCTACATGTAAGTCAATTTAAATATAAAATATGGGAAATTGTTCAGTTTTCCCCTCTCAGAGTTCAAACCACCTGGGAATAACAAGTTCATTTATTGTATGTTTCTATCTATTGTTAGGGATTGCTTCATGATAAATATTTTATTAACCAGCAGAGCTAGCAAAGTGCCTGCAGACAATTAGGTAACAGATCTCTCTAATAACATTAATAGTTTATTGTCCTTGCTGTTGCAAACGCTTTTAAAAAATTGAAATAACCAATACCCAAAATTTAAACTGATGTATTATGTTTTGGATAAAAGGAAATGGAGATGAACATTCCCAGATTAGTTTATTTTTGTTTTGTTTTTGTTTTTCACAAACTCAAGGAGTTGTGTTTTTGCAAGACCACACCATGCCTTAGTTGAACATGTTTTGTCTTGAATCAGATATACAAGCATGCATGGAAAGCTAGTGTTTCAGCCAGTGATCACTTGCATAGTGGCCTGTGGTAATTTTGCAAGTACTTAGCAATGACCATAATGATTTCAACATTCTAATTATTCTTTGGGACAGTAGCCAATAAACAGTGTAAAGTGCTGAACAAAGGAGAACAGTTTTTTTACTCTTGAGGAGCCTGTATTCAAGACTAATAGGCACAGAAAGTTAAGCAACGCCTCCAAAAGCAAAACAGTTTGCAGGAAACTGTATGCAGTCCTGTTCTTCTTCCAAGGCCTGTTGCAGTCTGTGTAGAGTCCCCTGCTGGTTGCTGGCTTGCAGAGCTGATCAGAAGTGGTACTTCCATCCCACAGGAATGTTGGCTGTTTCAATTCTTTTTACTCTGAGACCAAAAAATGTTGAAAAGAGCAGCTTCCCCCCTTCTCCTCCTCCCACATTTAAAGTTCTCAACCTTTTTTTGCTACCTCAAAAAGACGATTAGTACCTAGCGGTTGTCTTCTGTTTCCAAATTTTGAATGATGCCTCCTAACAAATTCCTAATCATCTTCAAGCCACACTAAATATGAATAGAAAGAGACTGAGATGCAGTAAGGGATGAAGATGGCAATTCTGGGGCAGCTGGTCATAGTTCAGGAGGCCAAAGTAGAACCTAAGGCTGAAGAGCTGAGAGTTTGGTTTGGATTAAGGAAATTGAGCGGAGCTGTGCATGGATCATACAAGCTAAGGAGCAGTAAAGAACTGTCTGGCGTGAAGGAAAGAGTTAAGAAGAGGACAGTGAGCATCTGGACTAAGCTAAGAGTGACATTCAGCCACTCTACATGTGTACTTTCATGCTTCTTCTCAGACATTCAAAATTCTCAAATGCAGAGGGTTTTTAAAATGAGAAATGTAACAGCCCTTGATGCAAGAAAGCAGTTTTCCCTTCAGTACAAAGGACAAGAGAAAATATGCGTCTATTGGTTTTGACACAAAATGTGGCTATTTTCTTAACCGGGGTCCAGGAAGCACAGACAGTGCAGAGCTGCTAGTCAGCACCTCCTGCAGAGCAACTTCAGCAAGAGCTATCAACGGTTATCTTTGCTCTGCATCTCTCCTTCCACCTGCCTGTGAGCTCATCCTTTACCAGAGAGTCTTACAGATTTGGTATTTAAAGGGAAAAAAAAGAGAGACCTGCATTTCATGGGGGATTTCAAGTGAGAATACCTATGTCTGCATCACCAGCCCTGAATTCCTGCATGTGGTGTGCAGAGTGTGGACTAGCACATGTTAAGTGATAGCAAGCCTCAGAGCAGACTACAGCTAGCACTCGGGGGAGATTTAATTTATTGTTCAGTGGAATGAATGCTATTGTGCAGCGACAGCTG